GGCCAGACATCAAGCGACTCGTACCTTGGAGACAGACCAAGGTACAACCAGTCGGACAAAGACGCAACACAAGATTGGTAGAAGACGAATGGACAACACCGCCAGCCAAGACATCAGACAAGCCATGGGCAGGCTGGACAAACTTTGAGGAACATCCGGAGTTTCCAACACAACTTGAGTCAGATGATGAGGAACAACAACAGGGTACAAAAGCAAAAGCAGTACAAGCACCCAAGCAGCCAACACCACAGGAGATACTCGAGCACAACGTGACACATCTTCCTTACAGGAGTTGGTGTCCAATATGCGTACAAGGGGCAGACAGAACAATCACCCAAAGCAACACAGCAAGCTTCCAATCATACAGCTTGAAGGGCCAGAGACTGCTCGTAGTCACCCCGGTTTGGGGCAAAGCTGTCGTCACACTAAACTTAAAGCTGAGCAAATCAATCATATGCCCAGGAAAGCTAGCAAAAGGCGCTTCGCAGAAATTCTGCAGAGTGGTCAAGACGCCAAAAAGGTCCAAGGCTGCGGCTCCGGGCTGGTCTCGAGAATCAAGCTGATTAAGCTCAAAAGGATCATCAGGACATTAATACATGCCTCAAGGCAGTCATCAAGCCAATCAAGACTTGACTCGCGAAATGCTTGATAGGGCTGCGGCAACGCCCATGGTGACCACTCTGGGCACGTCAGAGCCTTGAGCGACAAGCGCCAAGCGAGCGCAGTGCGATCGACGTGCGGACGTGCGCGCTTTCCTGAAGCCTCGTTCTCAGAGCCCCTGGCTGGCATCTGGCTCCTCCAGGATCCAGTACAAAGACCGTCGTATCCTTGGCATGCGTTCAACTGTTTCAAACCAGCAAAACGGCAAAAAAGCGCTGAGTTTGCTCATCAGGTGTTAGGAAAAATCAGCTGAGGTCCCTTCTCCTGAACGCTCTCTGGGTACACGGAGTGCACTTGCCTCGGGGTGTCCAATCTTTTCTCCCACATCGACCTCCTCTTCGCCATCCTCGCCCTTGCCCTCCTCACCCCCTTTTCCGAGGCCTGTGATTGTGTCGGATCTCCCGGAGGTGCTGCCCAAAGTTCTTCGGCATGGCCTTGGCACATCTTGGCCCGTGCATGGCGTTGTCAAACACGTGCATGGCGTTGTCAAACACTGCACTAAGCACCTGGCTGACTCGTGGGCTTTGAGGCATCATGCTGTGTCCATGGTCTATGTTCTTAAAGTCTTAGCCGGCTCGAGCATATCTATTCAGTATCCTCTTCAGAGTCCACTACGCACATCCCGTGACAGGATTTCATCTTGAATGAACCACGGCTCCAAGCAAAGCAACATTCGCTGCAGTATCTGGAATTGGGGAGGTCTTGCAAGGGGTCTTAGAGCGCCTCTGGCCCAGGCCTTGTTTTCAGGCTTCCCGTTCAAGCACCTCCATCAATGCAAGTGCATCTTGCTCAGCTTCCTCCTCCATGTTGGCGGGATTGACAGAGGACCCAAACCAGGGTTCGCACGGTTTCGATGGTGATGGATCTTTGGCCTTCACGTATGCTTTCGGTTCATCCGGTTCATCCGGTTCATCCGGTGCATCCGGTGCATTCGGTGCATCCGGTGCATCCGGTGCATTCGGTGCACTCTCTACTCCTTCTCCTTCGTTGGCATCGTCGCCATCGCCGCGGAGCGCACGGAGAGCCTTGGCAGCGCCGGCCTCGTGGCATAGCCTCTCCAAGGTCTCGCCCTCGCGCGCCCCGCGCGCCCCGGCAGCTTTCAGCAGCCGCACAGCGGCCGGGGCATTGCAGCGGCAAGCCAAGGCAAGCGGCTGCAGGCCCCCTGGCCCTGCAGCTTCTACGTCTGCCCGTTGCCTGCAAGACCAGAAAAGCACACAATGCCGCACAATATCCCGATAACGAGGCCTGAGATCTGGCAGCAACTGGTTCAAAACAAACCAACTCACTTTGTGCCTTTTCTCGCACTGAAAGCCATCAAGGCTGCCTGATGAGGTACTGCAGCGTCTCCTCCTGGTCGCAAATGATGGCGGCGTGGATCGGCCGGCAGCCGTCTTTGGGATCCTCCTGCTCAATGTCCTCCCCGTCTCTCCTCGGCATAACCCTTCACCGTAACACTCGCTTCTCTTTACCCCTTTTGCAGTTCACTCCCCTTTCAACCGTTCTCTTCTTTCACACCCTCAACACTCTCCTCGCCTCTTTACGACACTCCTCAGCTTGGGCTTCACGTTCCTCTCCTTTCCTACTTCCTTCTTCATTGCCCTGTCCTTCTTCTATTCATTTTGTTCCTTCTTTCATCTTTCGTCTCTCTATATTTCCCTCTTCTTCTTCCTCTTCCCCTTTTTCCCCTCTTCTTCCTTATCTCCTACTATTCCTTCTCCCTCTTTCCTCGTCTTTCTTTCTTTCTGAAATCTTATTGCCAAGGCGCAGCCCCTCGATGAGCTCTGCCACGTTCCCGAAGTACGCCTCACAAGCGACACACGCGAAGTTCGGATCAAATCGACTGTCCAAGAAAGCCGCAAGCAGAAGCCCTGAAAAGATAATGCGACCCGCAAAGGTGCGCAGCAGCCGCGCGTGAAAATTACCGGTGCCACGCGCTAGGTTGCACACAACGGCTCGGCTGCGACTGTGGCCAAAAGAGCGAGCCAGCGGAGAACTGATCCTGGACGATGGGTTGGATCACCCCAGAACAGCAAAAGCTCGCGATGACCTCGTTTACAAAGAGTCCAAGGCCACTACGAAAATGCATGAGGACAAGAGTATCTTTCGGACAAGAACGCGAGGTTGCCTTGGGGCCACCTCAGATCACATAGTTCCATAGGTTCAACGATTTTCTTTTCTCCAGTCGCTTTTTGGGGCCCACCTGCAACTCAAATTCTCAAATCACAGCGACTTGTGTTTTCTCCTGCGTGTTGTCCGTGGCCTTGGTGCGGTTTGTTCTCTGGATGTTGTCCGTGGTCTTGGGGTTGGCCTTGCTGACGAGGAAGGTGGTCGCAGGTCGAAGATGCTTCGATTCAATTGCCACTCGCACAGCTGAGATTGAAGAGCACGGAGCGTTGGCCTGCGCAATTCATAGGACCTGGTGTTGCGCACGCGTGCCTGAGGCCCACGTGAAAGACATGCTTCTTAGCGTGGACCATTTTGGGTCGGAAAAGATTCGACAAATCGAGATACGCCTGATCCACACAGATCAAGGATGAACACACGGTCTTTGTGTGGCCCAGTGTGGCATTTGCGAAGGAGTGGAGCGCTGTAAATGTTGCCATCTGGAAGCCCATTGGGGCGGTCATGTAGGTCAGAGCAAAACCCAGGCCCATGGTAGCTGTGAATTTGCAGATCGGGAGACCAAGAGGTGGTGAGACTTATGAAGACTGCGACGGAGTAGAAGTAAAGTACTGGTTGTGTCTTTTGGAAATATTGCATTTGTGCGCCTAAGCCCTCCATGATCTTTAATGGGGCAAATGGGCTGTCGGTTTTAGCGGCTTCAGGCCAGACATCAGCTGCTATTATCCACCAAATCATACAAAGGTCGCCCTAAAGAACCCTGCCCAAAACCGGGCTGACCGGTCTCTCTCTTTTTCTCTTTCTCTATCTGTATATATATATACGCCGTTAAAGTGGGACCAACTGTGTAAACACCTGATGGCCTAAATGTGTCAAACCTGTGATGTGACAGCACGGCACTTGTTGTATCAGCGGGCGAGGGCTGTAGCTGTATCATGTGGATAGGCTCAAGGCCTTGATTGTACAAAGCAGCATTCCAGATGTATTGGGATGCATGTGTCTTAACACGCCTCCTCAGGACAATGTATCTCACGCACGTTCTCCTGAACTGGTGAAAAAAGATGATGTGGCTGCTGTAAAGGAGTGTGTGCTAGGCCGTACAAATTTGTTGTGGTTCGCGGTGTCAAAAGCGAGTGTCAAACAGCTGCTGTTTCAAACAGATGTTATATCAAGCTATTCGACTGCGCCACTCAAATTTGCTGTTGTATGAACCATGGTGTTCACACATTCCTCGACCGCTTCGCAGCCGTTGTGGCAACTGCATCCATGGTTGTTGCCTGTTTCATGAGCACCTCCCTGTACTTGTTCATCTTGTCTCCGGGTAGAACTCCTGATTCTGCATGTAGCACCAGGTGTGATGATCCTGGTGTCCCCGGATGCGCTCAATATCTTGATTGCTTGTGCCCGAACTGACACATTGCCTGATGTTTGCAGATGATGTAGCACCGCGTCGTGATGCTCTGTGCTGATGCGCTTGAGGATGTATAGGCCAGTGTACTCCATGACCTGGTCATTGCAGCATGGATTGTATCATCATCTGCTGCAACCTGTAGGTCGTTCAGGTTGATGAGGGCGTTGTAGTCCCACGCAAAACCATTTGTCCACTTGAACCTCTTGAAGATGTCCAGGATGTTGTAATGGCAGAGTTCGCAGATTTGTACCGACTGCTGTTCGAACTCATCGAACTGCCACTTCTTGTTGTAGTGATGCTGGAGGTGGAGGATCTGATACCCCCTGTTGAATGTACTCATCTGATTCTTGCTGAGCCTGGCAATCAATGCACAGCTTCTCCAGCTGTGCGGATGCGATCTTGCGTTCGCTGAAGAGGTAAAGCAATGTTGTAAGGGAGTCAAAAGGACAGGTGTTGTGAATCATGTGCTCCCAAAGCGGCTTCCTCATGTTGGCCTGAAGCCCTGTGTAGCCGCCCTCCAAACTGATGTACTCCTCGCCTGTCAAGGCGACGTACAAGACGTTGTTTGTGTCTGCAGTCTTGTTGATGCGCCATTCCATGATGTTGTGCGCCTCCTTACCGTTGACGCATCTGATGTTGAAAAATCCCACTGATGTAAGCGATGTAGACAACTGCGCGTCGTAACGCTTGCCGGTGCGCTCATCCGATGTAACAAGAGCGGTCAAGGCCTCCGATGTGTCAGAAAGAAAAGAATGTATCTGACTGGTGTAAAAGGGTAAAAGGCAGCGGAATGTGACACATCAATGTCCAACATGTATTATGCAGAAAACTATTGTGAGAGGGGTTGTAACACTCCCAGAAAAGATGTAGCGGTCATAAAAACAGGGTCGATCTATGGCTGATGTATCTACCCTAAAAAGATTGTAGCTACGCCGGCTGTTAAGTGGCAACTGTTGTTTAACAACCTGCGCTGACTACTGTACTCACTGTTGTGAAGCTGTTGTGGTGTGGCCTCACAGGCCAACGTTGTACAGGTGTTTGTTGAGTGTGTCGCTGCCAACAAACTTGGCAAGAATGTCGGCTGTGTTGTCTTCTGACTTTACCTTGTGCATGGTGATGGTTTTGCTCTTGACAAGTTGTTGTATGAAGAGGCGTCGCAGCTCAATGTGCTTTTCTTTCTTTGATGTACCTTCTCTCATTGCTATTGACTTTGCTGCGCTGCTGTCTGTGTGTATCCTGATGTTGGTGCGTACTTCAAACGCTTCCTTGATGAAGTTGCTGATGTAGAGGCTTTCCTGTTCTGCTGTACCAATCGCGTACAGCTCTGGTTCTGCTGATGAAAGTGCTATTGTTGCTTGTGTTCTGCTGCCATAATGTACTGCTGCTCCAAAGAAGTACAGTACAAATCCTGTTGCGCTTTTCCTTGTTGTCTCACACGATGCCCAGCTGGCATCTGTGTATGTGTCAATGTTGAGTGGAATCTTTTGTCCTGTGTTTGTATCTTTGGTCGCAGGTTGTGTCGCGAGTACCTTGTTCCTTGAAGGTGCCTGATCATGTGCTTGAGCTTCTTGTTGTCAAGTTATGTTGGTGCCTGTAATGATCTTGCTAGCTCCCTTGCTCCATAGCTGATGTCTGGTCATTGTATCTTGCCAACAAGCCGCCCGTATTTCTTGTGTTGTTCTTGGTCTAGTGGTGCTTCATCTTCTGCTGCGCCTTTCATGTGTGGTACTCCTGGTGATGGTGCTGGATTGCAGGTAGTCATTCCTGATTCTTCCAGGATGATGTCAACATAATTGTTGTGCAAACTGATGTCAATGTGATTGCCTTTGTGTGAAACGTTCCTGCCAAGCAAATGCATTGTTGATCCAACTGCTAGGTTGCCAGTGTGTCTCAGCAGGACTTCCTTTTGCATTCTGCTGAAGAGCGTGTTGATGACGCTCTGTACTCCTATGAAAAGGAGATCGTCCACATAGATCATGATGTAGACCTGACAATCTTTTGACCTGTAGACATTGCTTTCTGTTGTGCATCTCACAAGCCCAAGCGCAACTGTGAGGATGTGTGCTATGTGGTCTTGCCATTGTTTTGGCGATGACCGTAGGCCATAAATGGCTTTGTTCAGCCGCCGCATTATGTGTCTGTTATCATCATTGTAGAACTCATGCGGCGGTCGCATTACCAGGTTGTAGGAGATTGCTTCTGCATGTAGAAATGTAACACTGACATCTCCTGCGCTGACTGACCAGTTGTACGCCAATGCCATTGTGAGGAGTATCCTCAGTATGCAAAACAATGGTGCACTTGCAAACAAGAGATCGTGGTCTGTCACAGGTTCTGTGTAGCCCTTTGCTACTATGCGTGCTCGCACGTCGTTGTGTTTCTGTTTGAGAACCCATCTAGATTCGATAATGTTTGCTTGTTGTTCTGGTGTCAATGTGTTTCCATCAATCTCTGAAAAAACTGATTGACCTTTCATTTGTTGTACCTCCTTCTTCATTCCTTGCGCTACCTGTTGTGGATCCAAGTCTTCTGTGTCATGTAGGATTGGCTCTAGTAGGATCCTCTCATTGTTGATTTCTTCTGCATCTTCATTGGATGTTGTCTGCATTTGTTTGCCATCCTTTGTTGTGAACTCGATGGCATTTATTCTCATTTTGCTCTTTGGCTGTTCTGATGTTGCGGGTCGCTCAAGCGCTTCTCTTTCTGTTCTGGTGCGCTGTTGCTTGCCTGTACTGCCTTCTGCTATTGCGTCATCTCTTTCTCTTGTGGGTGATGTAGGAGGTGGTGCTGGCAGCGCTGGTCGCTTCTGGTGTGCTGGTGATGTAGCCATAGGTGATGTTGGCTCTGTTGTTCGTTTCTGCTTTGTTGGCTGATCTCCTGCTTCTGTTGCGCTCTGTCTCTTGCCTTCTGCTGCTGTGCTAGTTGTTGCATCTTTCTGTGATGGCGGTGCCTTGCTTGTGGCTGGCATTGTCAATGGCGTTGCAAGAGTTGGTGCGCGCAGTGCTGATGCTGGTGTCTTCCATGGACCTGTGTGCACACAGTCCAGTAGTTGCTGATTGTATTTGTGAGGCATAATCTGCCTTCTGATTGTCCTTGCTCTGACAATCTTGTTGTAGATCCCAAGAAGAGGTTCGCCTGTAGTTGTATCCTTGCCAAGCCAGATCCCATTGTAGAATCTTGGCTCGAGTCTTGGAAATTGTTTCACGGTTGGTAGCATGTGTTGCACTGTCTCACCAAACTCGCAAAGTGGTGTGTGTATGTTGCTCTCTGTTCCATCTGTTGAAGTAGCTTGTGCATCCATTGCTGCGAACTGCATACCTGTTCATGATGTACGCGCTGTGTCGAACTATCCAAGGCATGAGCGGATGTTTCATTGAAATGTCTCTGTTGTCGTTTTGTCAAACAATGTTCTGTGCGCTCGCTCTACTCCTCCTTGTAAGTGTGAACTGTATGCTCCTGGGCCCCTCGCGGTGATGTTGCCATTCTTGTTGGCCACTGCTGTTGCGAGCGCCGTCAGGAAGTCTTCCTGATCTGATTGTAGTATCATGTGTGTTGTCCTTCCACACTCAATTAGGAAGTGCTGTAGCTGCGTGACTGCATAGTCGCAGAGCATTCTCTTGTCTGTCAGTTGTAGTGCCGTGATCATCCCTGACTGGATGTCCATTGCTGTGAGATTTGGGTGTACATTGCTATCATCAAAGCCTTTGATGTAGCCGAAGTCAAGCTGTATGATTGGAAGCTTGCTGTGTTGCTTCGGATGATTGTTCTGTCTGCCTCTTGCTTGTACGCATGTTGGACACCAACTCCTGTAGGGAAGATGTGTCACGTTGTGCTCGAGTATCTCCTGTGGTGTTGGCTGCTTGGGTGCTTGTACTGCTTTTGCTTTTGTACCTTGTTGTTGTTCCTCATCATCTGACTCAAGTTGTGTTGGGAACTCCTGGTGTTCCTCAAAGTTTGTCCAGCCTGTCCATGGCTTGTCTGATGTCTTGGCTGGCGGTGTTGTCCATTCGTCTTCTACCAATCTTGTGTTGCGTCTTTGTCCGACTGGTTGTACCTTGGTCTGTCTCCAAGGTACGAGTCGCTTGATGTCTGGCCCGCCGTGTGTCTGCTCTGGTATGTAAAACGCTGTTCTAGGCTCAACATGCACTCTCTTCCAGTATGGGCCTTCTCTGTACCAGTAGTCTCCTCCAGGATGTACTTCTGAAGGATGTGGAATTCCTTGTCCAGCTGCACCTTTGGTGGTGTGTGGTGCTGCTGACTCCTGTAGTGTTGGTGGTGCTGTTTTCTCTCTCAACCTCGTTCGTGGGTTGTAGCGAATCACTTGTGGTGTGATCCTCTGTGGCTCGCTCCTTGGCTGCGTCTTTGCTGTAAACTGTTGCTGTAGCGTGTCTGGCAACTTTGTGCCTCTCTTGATCCTGAAGGCTGTCTCGCCTTTCCACATCTGTGGTTGCGCTTTGTTTGGATCTTCTGTTGTTTGATACTTGTCCTCAAATGTATTTGGGCCTGATTGTTGTTTTCCTGTAGTCCTCTAGTTGCTCTGCCGGAACTGGACACTGTGTTCTTGATGGTGTGAAGAGTGTCTTCCTGTGTTGCCTGTGTGCTCTAACAAGTTCTCCTTGTGTGTTGAACTGCCAGTAGTCTCCTGCATATCCTGTGTCTGCAGGACCTTGTGGTGATGCCAATCTGTCCCTGTTCTGTGTTGTGTATCTGTAGCTTTGTTCCTTTTGGCAATGTTGCGATTTCTGCTTGTAGGAAGAACAGGCCATTTCTGTTCTCCAATGTGCTATTGAAGCCTTTGATGCACTGTAGTCTTGGATTGTCATCCAGTGTAAGTTGGAAACCTTGTTCCACCAGCCTTGTAACCGAAAGGATTGGCTGTTTAACATCACAAACGTAAAATGGTATGACAGTCTGTTGTCCGCTGTGGTTTGTCACGCACACACATCTGCACCCGTGAAGCTTGATGCGCTGGTTGGTCACTGTTCGCAGTTGTGGTCCTGTGCCACGTGCTAGTTGGTGTAGTGGAAATTGCGACACAAACCATAGTGGGCATACATGTGTAGCCGCGCCGCTGTCAATCATAAGATTGACCCGCTTGTTGTCTTCTTGTGGTTGTTGTCTTGCGCCAATCATGGCGATGGTTACTTCTAGTTGTGGTAGCGCCAGTTGGTGCATCTGTGACTGATCCTGATGGTGTCGTAGTCCTCTTGCTCTGTGTGCTTCATGATGCTCGTGTCGTTGTTCCTCATCGTGGTTCTCCTGGATGTACTCGTAGTCTTTCTTCACGGTGAACCTTGTTGTTCCTTTCCATTGAAATGGTAGTGCTGCGTTGCCCATGACTGTCCAGTCATCTTTGCGTTGTGAAACTTCTCCAAAGTTGTTGCGAGTGCTTGTAGTTCTGTGAGGTTCAAGTGTGCTGATTGGTGGATGTCCTGGTCCATTTGCTGGAGTGAAGAGAGTTGTTCTAAGTGTTGCGTGGTGTCTTATCCAGTGTTCACCTTGTCTTTCCCAGTAGTCTTGGTTGTCCTCCTGTGCTGTGAGTGGTCTGTGGATTGTCTCCTTTGGTTGTGTGGTGTCAAGATTTGTAGAAGGTGCTGCTTTAGGTCTCCATATCTTTTGTGGTGCTCGTAGTTGGATCTTTGATCTGGTTGGTGGTGTGTCCATTAGCCGTTGTGGTTGTAAGCTCTGCCTTGTTGGTGTGGTCTTTGATGTTGCTCTGCGTGTAGGTGATATCTTTCTTCTGAATCTGGTTTCTCCAGTCCAGTTGTCACCTTCTAGTCTTCGTTGTAGTTCTTGCTTGGAAAGTTGCGTTGGGTTCTCTTGTAGTTGTTCTTGCTCTTTCCCTTGTCTGTTGATGATGGTTAGTCGCCAATCATCTAGTTCTCCTTCTGGTATTGGGCAACCACTGTTGTGTGGTGTGAACAATGCTTCGCGTGGTCGTTTGTGTACTCTGATGGCGTAGTCACCATCAAGTTTCCAGTAGTCAGTGTTTCCACCAAGGATCTGTCGCAGTCCTTGGTCTGTGTGGGTGAGTGGTGCAATTTGTTCTTGTTGTTGTGTTGCTCTCTCTGTAGGTTGAATCACAGCAATGGATTTTCCATTGTCTGTGGTCATTGGGTAGATGTCGAACCCTGTGGGATGTCGATCTTCTCTGCTTGTAGGTAGAAAAGTCCTGAGTGTCTTATGAGGTGCGCTTGTTGTTGTCCATGTGTGATGGTGCAGTGTCGTGGAGTGAAGTCGAGTCCATATCCTCTATCAAGTAGTCTTGATACGCTGAGGATTGGATACTTCACATCACAAACGTAGTAGGGTATCATGGTGCTGAAGTTGTCCTGCTTGCAGGGAACATACTTGATGCCGTAGACAGGAATTTCTTGTTGGTAACCGTGTAGAGTTGCGCAACTGTGTGTAGATGCTCCTGAGTCGATCAACAGGTGGTGGTGTGACTTGAAGTTGGAGTACATGATGTAGTGTGTGATAGTGTCCTCAATCTTCTTGTTCCTTTGCTGTTGCGTTGCTGCTGCTATGTCGAAGTGTAGCTGTGCGGTGTCTTCTTGTAGGAATTGTTGAAAGCTCTTGCTGTGGTCGTTCCATGATGTTGTGTGTGTTGTTTTCTTGCCAAGTAGTGATTTGGATTTGTGCTTGTGTAGTCGTGACTTTGCTTGTCTGATGTGTCCAATGGTGAGGTGTGACTCGTTGATGCCTCCAATGTAGTTTGCTGTGTCCTCATAGCTGTTGTCATTCCAATCCCAGCTGTTGTCATAGTCGTAGTCGTTCCAGTTCTCCTCCATGTAGTTTACCTCGTGTTGTCCTTCTTCTCCTTCGTAGTACCAGTCCCAGGTGTCGTTCACATCCTGAGGTAGTTCTTCATTGTTGTCATGATCTGCTTGTTTTTGTTCTAGTGGATGTAGTTCTTCTCCTTCTCCTATGTGCCATACTGGCACTCTGCAGTCTTGTGCCCAGTGGCCGGGCTTGCCACATCGATGGCATGTTGTGTAGTTGTTGTTTCCTTTTCCTTTTGATTTGCTGTAGTTTCCTTGGCCTTTGTAGCCTTTGCTTGATCCATATCCTTTGGATCCTGAGTAGCCTTTTCCTTTGCTCTTGTTGTATCCTCCTTTGTTGTAGTTTCCTTTGTTGCCTTTGTCGAATTTTGTAGTGTCCTTTACTCCTGTACTTGCCTTTGCTTTTGCTTCCCTTATAGTTGCCTTTTCCTTTCCCTTTGCCTTTGTAGTTTCTTCCTTTCCTCCATATGTTGTCAACATCCATTGGTGCAGCTCCTCCATAGTAGTTTGTTCCTACTGCTGAAGTCGATCTCGAGAAGGCTGAAATCGTCTTGTAGTGGTCCAAGATGACTGCTCTGATCTCGAGGTAGTTCGTGATCTGTCCAGCTCGCAGTTGAAGATGTTGCTGCAGCGCTCCTTTGGTTTTGTTGAGTAGTATTGCTATTTTGGTTGCATCTGGTAGTGCTGCGCCGTTGTCTCTCTCGTAGCGGTTGATGTCGTATTCCCATTGTAGGAATTGTTCTTGAAACTGCGCTTCGTTGAAGGTAGGTTCCAGTAGTTTGGTAAGGTAGCCAACGCTTCTTTAAAATCGGTTGCTACTTTAGTGCAAGTGCTGTAGTGTTCAAACAAACAGTCAACCAATGTAGTCTGCAGCTGCCAACCTTTTGACTCATGCGATGTAGTGAGCTCAAGGCCTGCAGAAGTGAACATACACGCAACACAAATGCAGGAAGTGAAGCATGTAGTTTGACATCTGCCTATCTTCCTTTCTATCTGCCTATCTGCCTATCTATCTGCCGATCTATCTGCCGATCTATCTGCCTATCTATCTGCCTAACTACCTATCGTATATCTCGCTCTACCTTGCGAAAAATCAACACCTCAAGCTGCCAAAGCGCTGCGCCTGCCACGAAATTTGAACGCCGACCCAACAATTTGCTGCGCCTGCCACGCGCTGTGTACTTAAGGTCGCCGAAGCGCAAACAACGCAAACCCAACGTCGCGAGGTACCTTTCAGCCCGCCGGAAACGCCAAACGCGCAGCCAAACACGCAAAGAGTCACTTGTTCTCGCGATTCCATTCCGCCACACGCGCATGTTTTCTCGCACGCATTCATGATTTCGTCATGTGATCTGTCAAATACAAAGGCATATGAAGAGCATTCAAGTGAAGCCCCTCTTGCTACCTAAGCGTCAAGAGCTGTTTAGTAGGCGACATAATTACCCCAAGTGCTTGATAGCTTTGTACCAAGCGGCGGCTGCAATCAATGTTTGAGCCATGGCACTGCTCAGTGTGACTTCTTCAGAATCATACTTGTTACTAGAGATCCACGCCGATCAGAGCTGCAAGTTGCTAGATAGAGCTCTACGTCGATCCAAGAAGAAATCCGAATCAACATGTTGTGGTAATAAACTCTTGTTTTGGCGTTGAGGCTGATGGCTTTCCCACTCTCTGGAAGATTCCTGCATACGCAATTCGTTCATCCGTAGCACGCGTGCTATCCATGAAGGCTTTTTGAAGAGCACTTGCACGGCTTTGCGCCACTTCTTCGAAGTGACACATAGAAGCAAAAGCAAAACAGAGCACAAACCTCAAGCACTGAAGAAACACAGCGGCAACGCCTAGACAAAATCTTGGGCTGAACTTGTGAACACCGGCTTGCAAACCCTTCTGTCTCAAATGCTCTGATTTCCCTCGCTCCACTGCGAGCGCAAAAGAGCGGGTTCCATCGGCTTCGAGTCAAAGATTCACAGATGCGCCAGGGACTTCCTTACGCGGTGCCGGCTTGGCGTCCAAACTTCCAAAGTTGGTTTTAGACTTCTGGGCAAGCTTCGGTAGATGGCGACCACCGATGTGTCCACAGAGAAGTTCTCAAGCCTTTCTTCCTAAGACGCATTCGCTACGATTGGCCACGACTCAATATCTTGCTGGTCTTGCTGCTGAGACACGCTGTGCGAGAAGCGTCGGCATCGACCTTTCAAGCCAACACAAAGCTGGAAAGTTCATTGGCATCAACCCGGTCCTTGCCAACGAGTATCTCTTCTAAGTCGCTTTTCAGCATCTGGCGATACCTCGCTTCCATCTCAACACAAATATAAACCCTTCTTTGAGAAACTCGCACTGTTCAAGCCCTTGAGAAACGCAAATACGCATGAGGCGCTGAAGCGTGAACCACTTCCGCAAGTCCACCATGTCCTTCACAGTGGCCATGTTTGTTCCGCGGAACTGAAGGATGACCTGGCACTTCCGCAGTTGCTTTGCGGCGAAGCTACATCCCAAGCCCGGACCTCCATGAAGTCGGCAAAGGAAAGCTCGGCTTCTCCAGATTCGCCAGCATCCTGTTTCGGAACTTCGGAACTTCGGAACTCAATGCATCCAGCATCCTCAACGCATCGCTTTGCCTCCCCCGGCTCTTCGAAGATCATGTCAGCAAAGTCGATTCTGAGGCGCGCCGCGGGCCATGCACCAGAGCACTGCACGGATGGCTGACACTTACGCCAAGGTCTAAACTTCTGCGAACGGAACTCTGCAACACCGCAACCCTCAATAAATCACTCAAAGATCACTGACCCCACTGCCACAGTCAAATCATGCTTCTTGCCTCTGACCAATCATGACAAGGGAGAGTGGAAAGGTTTCGGAATGTGATTCAGGCGACGGAGCAATATGGATTGGCTTGCATCAATGGATGGGGATTGGCTTTCACATCTTGGCAGCGGCAAGTCTTCTTTCAGGTCCCGCTCCCAGGCAACAAAAAGTCCAACTTCGGTCTTCAAGGCCAGTGGCTCCGAAACAAAGGCAGGGGGTTCAATCCTCTTCAAATCTGACATGCGTGACATGCATCTCAGCATTGCAGCCCAGTGTCAGCGTGAAAACATCCACTCCCAGTTCCTGCGCGCTTGTGCGCGGACCGGGGAAGGAACTGTCAGCCGCGTCTTGACGCGCTCGTGTTTTTGCAATTTTCCCCAGTCCTTGAGAGCTCTTACTGCATCCTTGTCCTGAGCGATCATGAAGAACTCGCTCTTCTGCAGCTTCCCATCAAAGTTCTCGTCTGTGCCTGAGAAGCGTTCTCGTACAGGCAAACGGTAGCGTTCTCGCAACGCAGAGCCCAAGGTAGCAGGTAGCACAATGCGACAATGCTGCAAAGCTGCAGCCCATGACCCGGTTCAGTGTCTCTTTCACCCAAGTGATCTGAATCGCCTCCTTCTCTGCAGCGGCCACTGCGGTGATGACCTTATGTACCGTGAGAATACTCAGACATATACCTTCCAACCCTTGCAATTTAAATCGAATTCAGGACGGCAACGTTTGAAAGCAAAGCTTGGACACACCGCTTGCAACGCTAAACCACCGAACCACCGACCTTCAATCCTTTAGCCTATTCCCTTAGCTATTATGGCTCCTTCCCTCAATTTCTTTCCCGCCACAGCTCTCCGATCGGCAGCGCCTCGCAGATCACGCCGATCAGCATGTTGGCGATAGTAATGGCCGAAAGAATCTGACGCAGATCGATTCAAAACACAAAGACAGTCCTACATGAGAGCGCAGCAATCAATGAAAAGAAAAGAAGGGTGAAAAATGCTTAAGATATTGCCACGGCTTGTGTGGCTGTCCGGCAGAAGGCGGCTGTCCCTCACTCAAACAAGAAAGAAGACCGGCGAGGTGAAAAATATTCAAGACATTGCCACGGCTTGTGTGGCTGTCCGGTAGAGGGCGGCTGTCCCAAAGTCAAACAGTCAAACAGAAATGAAGACCGGCGCCGTGAAAAATATTCAAGGTATTGCCACGGCTTGTGTGGCTCTCGGGTAGAGGGCGGCTGTCCCTCAGTCAAACAGAAATGAAGTGAAATAGTTAAGATCTTGCCACGGCTTGTGTGGCTCTTGGGTAGAGGGCGGCTGTCCCTCAGTCAAACAGAAAAGAACACGGCGCGGTGCAAAATATTTAAGATCTTGCCACGGCTTGTGTGGCTGTCCGGTAGAGGGCGGCTGTCCCTCAGTCAACAGAAAAGAAGACTGGCGCGGTGAAACATATTTTTGATTTTTCCACGGCTTGTGTGGCTCTCGGGTAGAGGGCGGCTGTCCCTCAGTCAAACAGAAAACAAGACCGGCGCGGAAATACTTTTTTACTATATTGCCACGGCTTGTGTGGCTGTCCGGTAGAGGGCGGCTGTCCCTCAAGTCAAACAGAAAAGAAGACCGGCGCGGTGAAAAATGTTTAACATATTGCGACGGCTTGTGTGGCTGTCCGGTAGAGGGCAGCTGTCCCTCAGTCAAACAGAAAAGAACACTGGTGCGGTGAAAAATATTTAACATATTGCATCAACTTAGAAAGGCGACCAAAAGACAATTCTCGAATTAATGGCACGGATTGAATTAACGATTCAGGCACATGGCAACATCTCAAGCTGGTAGCTGATGCGCAAGAGCGGCAAAACAGCGTGTCAAGGATCTGAGACGCAGGCACACACAAGCCATGACGATGCACGGGCACTCGAGCGGGAACAGCAAAGCTCACCGTCAAATGCTGCACAGATTTATTTAGGCTAAGATATTCAAAGCCTAGTGGCACATTTTGCACTCAATTATGCCTGTCAATGAATTGGAAAACGCTCAAGCGCGGCATGCCCGGTCATCCCACAAGGACACCGGTTTTGGGGCAGTCCGGTAGAGGGCGGCTGTCCCTCAGTCAATCAGGAAAGAAGAACCGGCGCGGTGAAAAACATTCAAAATATTGCCACGGCTTGTGTGGCTGTCCGCTAGAGGGCGGCTGTCCCTCAGTCAAACAGAAAAGAAGACCGGCACGGTGAAAAATACTTAAGATGTTGCCACGGTCATGTGGCTGTCGGGTAGAGGGCGGCTGCCCCACAGTCAAACAGAGTAGAAGACCGGCGCCTTGAAACACATTTAAGATATTGCAACGGCTTGTGAAGACCGGCGAGGTGACAAATCTCTAAGATGTTGCCACGGGTTGTGCGGCTGACCGGTAAAGGGCGCCAATCAAAAAGAAAAGGAGACCGGCACGGTTGTGTGGCTGGCCGGTAGAGGGCGGCTCTCTCAATCAAAAAGAAAAGAAAACCGGCGCGATAAAACATATTTGGACTTGCCACGGGTTGTGTGGGGTTGCTGAAAATATTGAAAACATTTGCTGGCTGAACACATGAAAACCTAAATGGATTCAACTCTGAAAAATATGAGGGGCTTGCAACGTTTGCGTATCATATGTGGCTTACCGTGTTAACATCAAGGGCCTAAACTCCCAGCGGCTTAACACCTTCAAACCTTACTGGCGTCAAAGCTTACTTAGAATTGTAATGCGGGTGCGAAAGCTGGCAACTGGCAGCCAGGCGCCCGCGCCTTGTTTCCGCACACACGCAACGATGTCGCAACACACAAAGTGAAACAACTGCTTGATCTCCCTGCTTGCTGAGCGTCTGCACACCTCTCTGATTTGCTGCTGTCATCCGTTGCAACCGATCCGGAGTGTCCTGGGCCGGCTGATATGCATCAACAACCTGCTCACTCAAGCTTGCAAAACCTCACTCATGCGCTGATCAAGGTGGACTGAGTATACCCAGCAGGGTTTCCACACAGGTGTTTTCTTTCTTTGACCGAAGATCAGTTCTCGCTTGCTGGCCGCTGCTCGGGCCTCTTTCTCTTCACTATCATCCTTCTTGAGAACGTTCCGCCGTTGCCTCTCTGCTTGCTTCTTCTGCGTAATGGCCTTGTTCTCTTCTGTTTGTACCAAACTCAGCACGCCATCCTTTGAAAACTGCTTGAGCACTGTTTTCTGCTCCGGCCCCGGCCTTTGTAAGAACGTCTGCCATGTTCTGCAAACCATCAATCCACCTGACATGCGCCCACAGCTTCTACACCATTTCCCGAAGCAAAGCGCCTTCGATCGCCATCCGCATGTCAAAACTGGCGCTCGCCGAGTCCTTCTTCAGGTTATCGAAAACAGAACGAGCATCTGTGACATATACTCTAGGGCGTTGTTCGATCAGCGTTGACCAATTTCTCAAATCTCAATTCCCCGTCAGCGCTTCCTCCGGCAAAACTGTTATCCAGTCACCTGCCTCCACCGCTTCTGCCAAGTGACTTGCTTCAGCTGCTAAAGTGCTTCTGCAAACGCGCTTTGTAGTAGCACTAGAACGTTGCACCGTGCCGGCTTTCCCACTAACATCTCTGGGTTGGCCGCCAGTATACACCAATGCTCTTGTACCTCATGGCTTCGCTCCTCTCCAGCGTGCCATTGGCATGTCCCGAATCTGCCAAACTGCTTCCCGTAAATTCACATCTGACCAATACCTCTGCCGAAAGTCTGCTGCGCGCCGTGCCATGCCAACGTACTGTTTCAAACGTACCAGATCTGCAACGCATGCCTCTCGCTTGCACCTTGCATCACACCGTTCTCGTGACATCTATGTGGCCATGCTCCTGCTGGTGGACCTCGAAAGATGAAACTCTTCACATGGTTCCTTGCAAGCTCCAAGGCCAATGAAGACTTGCTAAATGCATCTGTGAGTAAATTGTTGGCAACTCCGCCTTCAATGTCATCCACATGAGTAACCAAGCATCCTTTCAGCCTGTCCTCTTTGCAAGGTAAAACAATGCGGGCTCCAGCTTGCTTTCCACCCAACCATCTGCTTCCAGATTCTCCTTCAATGCCAACCAAAACATCTGCGCTGCCTCTACGAAGCCATAGATGCTTTGTTTGCTTGAAGAAGCTGTCCTGGTTGCAAACCCGGCAGTCCACCTTTGGGCGGTAGCAAGTAAATCTCCCGATTGACCGACTTTTCAGAGAAATATGCATTCTTGATGTCCTTCGCCAAAAGCGTGAAACCCATGCCAATCAAACACTCTTTGCAACTGCGCTAGCTGTAGGTGCATCTCGCCTGTGTTGCCCCAGTGACTGATGCTTGAACTTGAACCACCAAGCGCGACTTTGCTAAGCATTCCTTGTCCACCAGGCCGTCGTGTTTGTTTGTCCGTACCAAGCGTGTTGGAATGATCAGCTCCGGACGTTCCCGTCGAACTCGCTCGCTCTCTGCCGGACTCAAAACGTCACATGACCAGTAAACAACTTCTGCTTCGCTGCGTCCAGATCTGCAAGGCAAATTTCTTTTCTGCCCTTCTTCTGCTTGACTCCGCCTGCTTTGGGCGCTTGGCCTTCTGCAGCACGTGCCCAAAGAGCATGGTATCTATCGTCGAAGACGTTCCGCTTGACACCAAACATAAACAGCTCCTCGGAAACTCCCAGCTCATCATACCCGGCTCAAGCGCGTTGAAAATGTCGCCGAGCTTGGTCTTGTAGAAAGTTGGAACTCTCTGTGGCCATGAAAGTAAAACTTTCACCGCCCGTCAGAAGCGCATCCGTTTCCAACTCCGGCGCAACTCTCAATCTCTTAGCTTCTCGCCCCTCGGCTTCTACTGTGGTTCTCGTGAGGGTCGGGACTCACAGGCGTCTTCTCCTGCCCCTTGACCATGGAAAACTCCTGCTGGTGTGGCTCTCTCTTCTCTCTCCTCTGCCGATCACGACGTGCAAAGAACTCACTTGACTTCACCGCTCTTCTTGCATCTCTCTCCGACTCATACTTCATTCTCAGGTCTTCGGACACTTCCGCCGGTTTCACAATTGAGTCATTGGAGCTTCTTGCGAGTGCTTCCCGGGCTGCCATCCGGATCTGCTTGTGCTCCCAATCTGGAAACCTCTGCATCATCTGCTCAAGTAGCTGGCAGTCGTATATCACGTCCCAGGACCCACTGCGTCGGAGAAAAACCACTCTTCCGGCTCAACAAATTCTTGGCCTGATTGGTCGGTGCAGTCGCTAGCTGTACCTCCTGAAATCCAGAAACCTGCTGCGACCACACCAAACGCCGAAAGGTCGCTTTCCAGATATCACCATGCCTTTCGACCTGTCCAATCTGCCAGGGTGCTGCTTTTGCGGCAATATCGAGATAACAACCGTGCGCCGCTACCTCTTCTGCCACATCCGACAAGAAATACTTGGCTCGGTCGCAAATCACACCTCGCTCAAAATACTCTGCCCGCGAAAGCCAGTGCGATGTTTGCGCTTCCAAAATCACATGGCCAGTGGGATCGCCGTGTGTTTGTTGCAGAAAAGCACACACCTGAAAGGTCGTCCCCTGACAAAGAATGTTCTGCACACTGGACTCGTCTGTGACAGGAAGCTTGCTGGGTCGAGGCCGCTTAGGCTCTTGAAGTCTCGGACTGTCTGGGCACTGTGCCCGCAAACTCTGCCAAGCTCGCCAAGCCTCTCCGTGCAGTGCATCCATCAACTTCTTCGCGAAGCGGGACTTCTTCTGCAAATCTCAAGCTTCCTTTGTCGCATCGCCCCCCTCGCCCCCCAAGTTGCTGAAAGCGAACAAAACGCGCCGCCTGTATTCACGCATCAGTCCTGGCTGCTGGCCTGTGTAATGCGGCACGCCGTCCTTATCCACGACAATCCCATCATCTCGAGGCCAGTTGCGGCCATTGTCCACTGCCATGGCGCGGCAACAAGGCTCCGCTACCAGCGCGAAAGCTTGCAACTGGTAGCCAAGCGCCCGCACCTTGTTTCCGCACACACGCAACGATGTCTCAACACACAAAGTGAAACAACTGCTTGATCTCCATGCTTGCTTAATGTCTGTACACTTCTCTGATTTGCTGCTGTCATCCGTTGCAACCGATCCGGAGTGTCCTGACGGCGACACATGATGATTGCCAGTACTCGCAGCTCGGGCCGGCTAATAACCTGCTCACTCAAGCTTGCAAAACCTCACTCATGCACTGATCAAGGTCAACTGAGTATACCCAGTGGGATTTCCACAGCGGGGGTAAACTGTTGCAGTCTTAGTGGCTTAACGTGTCAACATCTTAATGGCTTAAAATCTTGAAATCGTAGGGGCTTTAAATCTTAGAGCCTTAATGGCTTAACACCTCACTGGCCCAAAGTGGAATGTCTGGAAATGTCAAACCTTAGTGGCTTAGAGAGATAAAATCTGAATGGCTGAAAATAGTGAAATATGAATGGCTGAAAATCTAGAAACCTTAATGGATTCAACTCTCTGAACGGCTTGCATTTTTTACATCTTAATGGTGTAACACCTTACAATAGTAATGGCTTACAATCTTGAAATCTCGATGGCTTCAAACCTTAGACTCTTAGTGGCTTACTAGCTAAAACCGGCATGACGTCAAGTCTTAACATCCCAATGGCTTAAAAAACGTCAAGTCTTAGTATTATTGATGGCTGACAATATTGAAATCTTAATGGATCAAAGTCAACAAGCTTTTGCGGATTACCATCTAAACATCGTACAGTAGTGGCTGAACATCTTGGATGCCACAAGACACGAATAGAGACCTTTCATTTAACCCTCTGTGCTCCTCACAGAGAAAATTGCAAAGGGGAATTCCCATGGGAGAATTCGAAAGGGATAATTCCAATGGGAAAGCAGGCCTTAATGTCGGCGGCCTGACCCGGACCCTGCCGTCCGGCACCCAAGGGTTCTGTCCCCTCAATCAAGGCGAAAAAGGCGAAAAAGGGCGAGGGGTTGCGCAACACGCTGATGTGAATCGCGCTAGGGGCTGTGTTGCTGTGACCCTCGCAAAGAAGCCACGCACGTATTCTTGATGGAACTACGCTTGCAACACAGCTGCCCAATCAAGCGCAGTATGTGAAACGTTTGGTCATTGCACGCAGCTGTCCCAGGAATACAAAACGTGTCGGAAGCGAAAAGAATCCAACGCAAAGAAAGGCAACGAGGGAGGTGCACAGCACAACGAATGAGACCCAAGAAAAACAAAACATGCGGCCCCGCGCCAGAAAGGCATACAGGAGGGCCAAGGCCAGGTATTGCTCCTGTGTGATGAAGTCGGCGACCCTGGGCCAAGCGCATTACATTGAATGCATTGCTCGCGTTTCTTGCAAGGGCCAAACAGGTCCGAGATGGAGTCCAAGAGGGTGCCGTGCAAGAAGAGGCTCTGCATGGACAGGAAGACTCCTTCACTCGAGGGAAGGGGTCTGAAGTCGTCTCACTTTAACTCGTAGTGAGTCTCACGTTAGTGACGCTTCCATTTCCTGGGAAGGTATCGGAGCCCACGAGGGAGCCGCGCAAGAGCTGGGTGAATCCGATGCCGAAGACGTACAAAACGATGACCAACAGCAGCAACGTGAAGCCAACGGACCGCATCGCCGCCGCGATCGCTTTCACCAAAATCAGCAGCTCCGGGACCATCCGCCTCGGAAACAAGCCGACTGCTCCGATGTTCCGACTTACGCTTCTCCACAGGACATGGCTACATCACAATTGACTGCTTCGCTTCCGTTCAAGCAGCAGCAAGCGCGCCATTCGAAAAAGCCGCGACAGGCGCATGAGCCTCAACGTGCACAGTTCGCTGATCTGGCAAGTTGAGAATGCTAAATCATGCTCTATAGTTCATCTGATTTCACATGTTATATGTAGATGAACCAGCCAAGAAACCTGGCCAAACGAAGGATGGAGGCGTTGGAGAGGAGACCGCTGCTGGTCCCAGCCCCCGTCACCAACAGCACAGCGGTCATAACCCAGGTCTCCTCGGCATACGGCGACTCCGGAAGACGGCAAAGAGCAGCATCCAAACGGCAAAGCGTGAGGCGGAGTGCCAAATCGCAGCTTGGTTTCCATTGGACATTCGGCCGAGGCTCCAAGACCATCGTGATGACTAAGAGGAAGTCGAACACAAACCAGGCGTCTCTGAGGCAGTTCCGCTTGGCCTTGAAAGCCAGAAATCGAATGACCTAGCGCAATCTGCCGCAGAGCCTTGACAAGAATCCTATGTGGGGACCACTGAGTCACCGACAAGTTCCACGAAAAAGTACAAGCAAAATATCTGCTCAGCCACAAAGAACACTGCATCCGCCTGCAAAATTACTTCCTTAGTGTGCAGGCAGTGGCCAGTCTTTTTCGAGAAAGCCTGGGTCCTGCCCTAGCGAGACCAATGTCAAAGCTGCCGATTTTTCGCAAAGGGTCAGCGCGGTTCAAGTCTGTGTCGACTGCCATCCACATAGCGTAGATTCCAATGATGAACATTGTGATATTCTCAAACCTCAGATCGGCTAGACAAAATGCGGAGAAACTGTTATCCAGCAAAAGGACAGCCCTCCCCTCCGCCAAGCCACCATGGATGCCTTGCGATCTTTTGAAAAAGACCAGACTGCTTGTAATACATCTTCACGTCGTACCCTGACTCAAGATGTCCATGCTCACAGCTCCAACGAGCCACAAGCATAAGACAAACGTGCCAAACTCCGCGCCTCCGTCCTTCATGAGTTCAGCTCGTACCGCCTTTCATGTGCAGTGGAAGAGAGCGAGGATGCACGAGTCTTTGCGGAGCGTGCATACAAGCACGCATGTTTATTCTCATTGCATCAGCATAGTCAGGGCAGAAAAGAATTATGACAAAGGGAGGGAAGAACTTTCTGGCACAACTGCGATTGACAAAAGCGAAATATTCGACGGCCACAGTCACAAAGCCCACTGCGCGACACCAAGAGCCACAGAATTTACATGGTCGAACAGCGGGCGCAGCAGCGTTGTAACATGATGTACAACGTCTCCCGGCAAACTTTCGGGCATGTTCCGGATTACACTTCTTTAGGTCTACCTTCCTTGTTGTTTCTCTCTGTCTCTCTCTATCTCTCTCTTTGGCACTGACGACAAGTGCACTCGCTTTGGCTCACAGAGGCGCGAGGCAACGTTGCCAAGAGATAGAACACCACTGGCTAAAAGGCTCGCATTGGCAGGCTTCACCTAATCTGCTGATGTGTGAACCCGAGCAATTGCCACGGTCGATGGAGCATCCCTTCTCAAACCTTAACATGCTCCAGCACAATTACGGAGAGCTTCGCCCAACAGACTGTGGACGTGAGCTTGGGTTAGCCTTGCCCGCCTAACATCTAGAGCAGTCGCGTCAATTCCGCAGCCAGCCTTCTTCTTCCAAAAAAGAAGCGTTCGGTCATATGGCGGGACAAGATGAGAAAGAGCAAGTTCACAAAAAACGTTCAAGGACGTGACCGTTTAGGACGTCAACAACAGCCACAGGTTAGCCCGAGTCCACACGCTAAGAACGTACAAGGCAACGTCTCCTAATTCACAGCGCGGCAAAATCGCTCAAGACGCTCCCCTGACTCCGAGACCCGGGTACCGCTCAAATCCTGGAATTTCGAGGTGGGCACCGCAAATCGAGGCCTCTCTCGAGAGCAAGGAAAAGAGAAGACTCAATCGAGGGGTATGAGCCAAAACGGCGAGGTCATCGCCATCTAGCTGCTTGGCCTATGAATAGGCGTAGACTGGCACGCTTGACATGCATGCGATCGGCAGCTACTCAATTGCAAACTGAGCCATAAATGGGATTGCAGAAAACACGCGAGAGTTCCTTGTACTTGTTAGACGGTAAGCTTGATCTGTACTCGTCATACGCTCTTACACCCTGTGTGACATGTGTCAAGGCATTTGGAAAATGTGAAGATCTTGTGTGCAGCGGCACCAGATAACGCTCCTTGCAAAACACCAAGGTCAAGGCCTCTTACAAAGAGCCTAGGAGAACCAGGACGACTCCAAAGATTGCAAGCCCTGCAAACAAGTTCGCGAATCGCATCTTCTAATGCGTGCAAATACTCTTGCTCTGAATCCGTGTGCGAACTGACGGATCACTGATTCGCCTGCTTCATGTCCGAGGAGTTCTGAAAAACGGCCTCACAGGAGGCCCATCGCAGCAAGGCACAAACTGGGACAGAAGATAAACAGAAGATATAACAATGAGGGCCAAAAAGTACTGAGACAGCAAGCAATGTAAAAAATCAGAAGGCATAAAAGGGCAAGCATATGGGCAGGGAAAGACACAAACCCTAAAAGACACGCTCAGGCAACGGAAAGGAAAATTATCTGCAAGCATGAAAGCGGGAGTACGAAGTGAACAAGGCAGGCAAATGAGGATGAAAAGCGCACGGAAACCAGAAAGAAAGCAAAGGGCAAAAGGGGGCATGTAGATGGCCAAGGGAATGCAGAAAAGTCAAAGCCAAAGAGAAAGTTGAGAGGCCGGCAAACACATGCCAAAGGCAGCTCAACAACAAAGCAAGGCAGGCAGCAAAAGAAGAAGAAGAAGAAGGGAGAAAAGAAAGAGAGAAACGGAGAGTGGAAAGTGAAACGGGAAAAGACGACACAGGGAAGGATGAAGAAGGGTAACAATGACACGGCCAAGTGGAAACAGATTGGAGAAAGTGAAAACGTGGGAAAACGATGGCGGAATCTGAATCAGCGACTCGCGCCTGGCCCATGACTGGGCCTTTCTTGCCCATGTCCGCCTCAAGTTGTAACACGCGCCGAATGTAAGGCGATGTAAGGCCGACCTGGCCTGGCCAGTGCCCTCGTAGGATACTTCTGGAATTCCTGCCCGATGCCCTATGCCATGATACCACAAACGTGTAAGTCCTGACAGCGTCCGAAGCGGGGACTCGAAGTGAACTTTGCATTCCTGCCGAAAGCGGAGACCGTGCATTGGCATACGTTCAAAAAACCTTCTCTCCAATCTTTTCATTCCTCAATTGGACCTCAATAACTCAAAGGAGAGGGAAACACAGTTTTGTCAACAACGGGGGGCCCCGTGACTTTAAAAGGAACGAACCCCTCCGTGACTGCGACCTCTCCCTTAACCTTGTGGGTAGCGCGAGCAACGCGCTCTTTTCAGCACTTGAGCCAAATGACATGCGGACATGTCATCTGGGTCCTTGTCATGTTTGTACATCATGCAACTTGTTGTACCTCTGGGCCATAAATGTCATCGTGATAATTGACTCCCCCCTCATTGACGGCACTGAGGGAGTGTCTTGGGCGCATTACCACGCCAACTTGAAGTCAAGTTTACATCACAACGACTGACGCAAGTTATTCAAGCATCGCCCAGTCGCTTGCATACTTTTGGAAATTTTGCAGACATGCTGCAGCGCACTAGGCAGCTGCTTTAGCGGACCTACTTTCACGAACGTCTTCAAGCTTCTCTGGAAGGTCAACACGAATGCCGAGCAACCGGATGGCATGGTCCCACTTGTTGGGTGGAAGTGCTTTCGTGAAGATGTCTGCTGACTGCATGTCGGTTTGGACGTATTCTATCGAGATGTGTTCGCTTTCAAGCTGCTCTGCGATGCACGCGAGGTTCACCTTGTGGGTGCGCTGGACACAGCGTAGCTTGGATGAGAAACCCTTCTTTGCTACGAGGATAGTCGCCTGGTTGTCCTCGTGGATCTTGAGATGGAATGGTCTGTCCAAGATCAGCTCCCATAAGCTGAGCGCAGGAAGCGCCTCCTGGTAAAGGGAGTATGCGAGAGATACGATCTCCGCCTCGGTTGTCGATCGGGAGACCGAGGTCTGCCTTTTAGACACCCACGCAAGGGGAAAATGCGTGCGCGGACCACTCAAAGTCAAGAATCCTCCGGACGTTGATTTTGCGTCTCGTTCTCCAGCGAAATCGGCGACCACATAGAGAGACAGATGCAACTCATCAGTCGAATCCTGAACTGTGCCGACTAGCGTGCTGTTGACCGTGCTGTTTATGTAGCAGACAAGCCTATGTAGCTGCTTATCGCAGTTCCTAGACCATTTCTGAACAAATGAGGCAAGGTCGCCAATGGGCTTGACCAGGTCTGGGCGTGCCAAACGGCCGAGCCATAAGGCTTTCATTAACACGCGGCAAGCGGCGAAGCCGAGCTCACCCTCCAAGGCGTCATCTGCAGGATCAAGGGATCCAGCGGGACAGAATGGAGTGGTGGCATCACGCAACTTTTCAGTTTTTAGCTGTGCAACCTCAAGATATAATGCAACCGTTTGACGGGCATAATCCCGCATGTCGAACGCCATGCCCCCTTTCAATCTGCCCATTGCGGCATTAAGATCGGGTTCAGTTGGGTCCTTTGGAGCATCTATCAAAAGGTGATTCCTGCCTAGCACCCGATATATGTCTTCTGGGGGTTCTATATCAACCAGTCTTGTTAACTTTTCCCAGAAGTCTTTATGAAGGTGGCTGGGGCCGGCCAACGTCAAGTCGTCGACGTATGTCGAGAGAAGTAACCCGGACTCCTTGAACCAGAAGTTTCCAGGAAACTCTGCGACCTCACGCCCTCCAAGTTCACTAATGAACCCTTTGAGGTGTGCCTCCCAGAGTCCGCCAGCGTCAGGATGCCCATAAAGAGCTTTAACGAGCAAAACCACAGGTTTCACGAAACGCTCGCGCCACCACCTTGGCCGGAGCTCAGGCGGGAGTGTGATCCAAGTTTGGTACTTGGATTTCAGCAGTGCTTGCACATAAGCCTTTATAGCGTCCGCTGTTGTGGTGGAATTCCCTGGCAGGGATCCATAAGCGAGACAGTTATTAAGACCTTGTACGCTCGTGGGATTTGCTCCCAGTTCTTGGTAGACAGCTGCTGCGCCATGTTCGTCTTTCGCACAGTCTCCGCGATACACAATCCTACCTTTCATCTTCTGAAGGTGTTTCGCGAGTTCGGCGAACTTGACGGATGCTAGCGACATCAACTGCCCGAAATGGACTTTTATACTGGATCGTCGCGCCTCAGCAGCGACTTGATCATACTCTCGGACTGAATTTAGATCCCAAACACCGGCTTTCTCCAGGCCTGTGGCTTCAAGTCGAACGGCTTCAAGGGCTTCCGGGGAAGCCAACATTTCGGCACGTGACAAGAGTCTGGTCACCATTGCGGTGATCTCAGGATCCTTTTCTTCTTTGACTTGTCCTAGGGAATGTGCGATGAGATTTTCAACATCAAGAACTTGTTCAAGAATGTTGTGACACTTTTCATCGGACTCAACAGCAACACCTATGTCTTCCAAACCGGAGAGAGGGGATATGTGTTTTAGCTGCTGTTCACGTTCCCGGTGATCGAGAGGCAATGGCACTTGGACAGGCATCGCAGGCACCACGGGCTGAACTGTCGGATACAGCGCACGGGCAACTGTGAGACACATGCCTTCGGGGTAGAAAGCGGTCTTTGCGGTCTTGTTACCTGCTGCAAGCGAATGTTTATACCCTTTTTCGTGCGGACACTTGAATGCACCTAGCGCGGATGCGAGTGTGCTATTGCTGGTCATGACTTTCCATGGCTTCTTGATGGGATAACCATTGCTGTCCTTCAGACCTAGGGCGGAACCGTGGAAGGTCGCTGGGGTGAAGACTTGTGCGTATTCCCTAAAGAATGCAGAAACATCATCCCTAGCCCAGCTGTCGCAATCCCTTGGCCACTCAAACGAAACACTACCCCCCTGATGGAGGACAGTCTCTGCGTGACGTCTGAATCTGGAGAACAACTCTCCGACTCTCTAACCTTTTGCTTCAGTTTCTTTTTGAACTGGCTTCCTAACTTGGCCTTATTAAGGCGTTGCCATGCTGAACCTGATGTGCAGGGAATTGCAGCCCAGAGATTGGGTTTGTCACAACCTTCAATCTGCGACTGCAACTGGATTTCTCCTTCATCTGTGCTAAGGTCGATAAACTCTTTAGCCAGCCTAACATGAGGTATACCAAGACCTTCAAACACGCGACCCATATTGGACTCTGGTGAACATGCGTATTCGAACATCACAGGCAACTTGTCAATGCGTGCCTGTCGCTTGCGGGCACGATGATTTCCTACCTCAAACTGCTTGGGCTGCGGAGCTTCAACCTCTGCCCTGCATGGCATGCCAAAAATTGGCAATGTATCTGGACGACCGTTCTTTGACGCTTCGGTGAGAGGTGTCGGCGGCACGGAGTCTAGCATCACGGCTGCACCTGTGGTGATCACGCAATCGGACTGAATGGGTTTTAACTTGAACTGTGAACCCGGTCCATGCATCTCCAAGTGAGCGATTAGGTCGGCTACCAAACCAACCATCGTGGATGTTGTCTGCTTTGCCCCCCTGAAACACGGCACGAGTGGTGCGAGCTGCAGTAAATCTTTCTGGGGAAACGGGGCAATCCTCGACCTCTTTTGGGGTAAAAAGATTCTGCCTTGGCATGATATGGTATCGAACCAAACAGTTGGCATTTTCTTTGAACACCCAAAAATCTTCACCTTGCGATGTAGCGGCTGTCGCTGGCGCGGTATCGAAAAATGAGGCACCGGGTCTTGAGGGAGCGGGCTCCCCAGCTTCGGCTGCATCAAATTCATGCGCAACGTCTTCTGCACTAACTGCTATTTTAGGATCCTCCTCATGCTCGGATGCGTGGATTGCTCTGGCTAGCTCCTCATCCCCTTCAGTATGAACAATGGGAATGGGTTCCTTAGATTCAGTTTTGGCAGCGCTTTTTGCAGCTGCTTCAGCTCGATCTGCAGAAACAAGTTCGGAGAACCTCTTCTTGCATTCGGCACTGTGAATCTTGGAATGACCGGGGCATGCACGGCAACCTGGCGTTTCCTTGAACTTGATGATCCTCTCAACAGTTATGTACACGGATTTTGACTTGACAGCGGATGGAGTCGGTGGGGCCCCAAAGGGCGCCTCTCGCAGGGGCAAAGTTGGGGGATCTGACCCGTCTGTCTTGCCACCATGCAATGCTCTGTCTGCTGCTGCTGCGATCGGGAAGCTTGGGGGTCCGTCCTCAATGAACAATTCCGGTTCAGGAACATCGTGAACGGAAATGGAACCATCTTTACGGAAGGCTTCATAGTCCATGACTTTGACCACATTACGGTACCGCAACCCCGGATCGACCCTCCAACCCAAAAAGAGCGCTGGCGCCATGTTCGGATCGAGAGTGCGCTTGCCAGGAGTCTTGGTTCTGTACCAAACCAATTGCCCGAAACAGCATCTCTTCCCTTGGAACTTTTCCTTGGTGAGAGCTTCCCATTGGGTTTTACCGGGGCTGAATGGAGCAGGCCTGTCGAACGACATGGAGAGACATGCAAATGGGTAACTAAACGTGTGCAACGAATAGGGCAGCCCTGATTGCAAGTGGATGCTGCGACAGCATTCCTTCTCTTCGCGAATGTCGCGCTCCAGGACGGTGTTGTGCGGCCACCTGTTCGGCAAGCTTGTCTCGGGGACGAGACCGACTTCGTGGGCCGCTCCTTCGAGCTCTCCTGCTGCATCCATTTTTATTAGACATGCTGGCGGCGAATCAGTGGCCCGAAGGCCCATGAACTGACGGAAGTTTTTAACATGTGCTTGCGTGTCCCGCCTACTCACAGGGTATGCAAGGCGAACGCCTGAGAAAACATCACGTACTACATGGTGAGATTTGATTCCTCCGAAACCTACTCCGAGATGTTCATCGCCCATGGCAAGAATCACGGAATCGGTAGCCAACTGCTGAAATGGTGCGGTTGGAACGTCGACTTTGTCGTCTGATCTAGCATCCTTTTTGTGTGCTACCCTTGCAGAAGTGGTCTTTGAGATGGAACACACCTTGCAAAACGGGTTCTTAGGGAAATGGGACCTCATGTGCTCAGGAGATTTTGCTTGCTCCTTCAACGCAGTATCATGTGT